TACTGTCAATATAACTCGATTGCCTAATTTATGTTAATATTGAACAAAGTAATAGACCTACCATTCGAAATGCTTCTGAAGCATCAGTTCCAGCATATTCCAACAGTATATCAACACCTCCAGGATGATAAGCCGCAAATTTTGTGATATCATATACTACAGCTAATAAAAAGAAAAAATAGATAAAAACGATATATAACTCGGTTGCATTAACAAACTTGCTAAATCCAACAATGTTTTCGAACTAAAATGAGGATAACTTTTAAAAATTTCATGAGAATGTAGGTAGGCGTTAGCTTATCTCAGTTACTAACCAATAGCTTCAATCAAACTTTGTGTAATAGTGGTACTAATCATTTGCCCAAACAGTAGATGTTGTAGCAATAAAATGTGTGACCTTATGGTTGATTGTGTTATTCAAATAACTATTGGTAGACTTTATGCCGAGAATTGTATCATAAGCATAAGTTACCCTACTTTTAAAAGTCCTTAATAGGAGTCCCTGTTATGACATGATTTATGGCGTATATTGAAAAAAAAACGATTTATTTGCTACGACTAGGTTTCGTCAGTCACAAAAGAAGCTTAGAACCTAGCACACATGTTCATCTGCCTATATTCTTACTTCGCATTAATACAGAGGAAAATTGACATGATGGAAAGCAAAGGAATAGAAACACCTATGGTGCCGTATATGGTAAAAAAAAGTCAAACATAAAAATAATTTGAAAAGATGTATGATAATGAATGGACTAGGATGGTTTGTTTATATCTAGATGCTATTCAGATATCTTCGGCATTTTTTAAAAAAAATTTCTAATATATTTACTACACATGATCATTTCAAGCCATGAAAATGATCAGTTGCGCATAAAAGGTCTTTTATAAAAAAATTAAAAGATATGAATTACTATGAAGTCTTCAAAGACTTTCGAAAATAACAAGAACTAGCCTCACTTTTTCCTTGATGATCTAAAGCTATCCACATATCATCAGACTTATTATGCTTTGCTAATTCGGCAGAATCAATTTCCATATTTGTTGGTTTTTCAGATAAATACTTTTCACTTTTAGTATAGGCATTCCAATAACCGATACCCCTAAAGATAAAAAGAATTGACAATTTACAGAATAAACATGTTTAGGTAAACAAAAACATGAAAACTTGGTATAAACTGACACAGTTAAGTTAAATTCATTATGAAAGACTTAGGAATACAACTATTGAACTAATTTAGTCCAAGTAAAAATAAAAACTGTGAGGTGATGATCAAAACAATAGACTACAGTTTCACAGTAACAAGTATCGCATGTGGAGTTAGAAGCAAAATAATATATACACAAATAAATCACCGAATCCGCATACTAAAAATTACTGAAGTTAAACAATTAACCTTGTGATAAAGTAACACTATTCTTGAAAAGTTGTACAGACACTAATTTGTAGGCTGATTTAAAAAGCTCAACTGAGTGAAATTTGAAATATATGGCAAATAAAACCAGATAATTTAAAATAAACGAAATGCTAAACAATAATCTGAAGTAGCTCAATTTCCAGTAGTATTAAGTTTAGTTACGATAAAACCTCACATCGTTTTAACGAAATGAGACTGTTACATTTATTGTAAAAATTAATTTACCTCTAAAACGTACACTCTTAACGTCCTACTGAAGAAACGAGAATGCAAATGAAATGGATAAACCAACACTAAAAATCTGTCAAGAAACAGGCCCCATTAACATATATGACACTACTTATCCAGTTGCCATGGAGATTTTGGTACTGATGTCAAAGCATTCAGGTCAAAATGGGAAGAGCCAAAATAAACATGCGATGATAGGTCGAAGTTCATAAGACTAATCTCCACCAAAACGATCCAACTAAGCTTAAAATTTTCCATACCGTAAACAGCTTGTTGGGCATTTGATAAGTAGCTGAATAGCTCGCTATCATCTGACGGTTATAAAATATGACCGATAAGGAAATAAAAGTGGACTGAATGTATTTATACGTGTGTGTCTTGAAAACATATATAATGATGTTCAATACGGCCCATTTAATAAAATTTTTTAACCAACAAGGTAATTGGGAAGTATGAAAACAAAAGCGAAATAACCTTTATTTTCATTACATAGGAACAAATGAAAACTTTCCTATTTACCAACTTATTATGTAAAAAGTGGATGACAAATTCGGAATGCGTTGAGGACATATAAGGTATGGTAAAGCTCTCTAAATATTATCTCCTGGTATGCAGTCATTGAATAAGAATGAAATTAGTGGTTAGATGTTATGGTACAAAAAACTGTTATAACTATTTTAGAGGCATTCCATGTACTTTCCTAGGAGTATTTTAGGACCAATCCATGGCGAAACTATAAGAGTATGAAAAGAACACTTTCCTACAAGTTATTTAATTGGTATCGGAATCCCTGAGGTTGGCGACATGGATCAACTAAGTGATTACCATTCACAGACACATAATTTGATAAAAAAGGAACCTGGTTAGTTAAATCAAAAAAACTAGGGGAATACGAAAATGTGGTACAAATTGGAAAATATGAGTCCCTCCTTGAATACATTTATAGTAAACTCTAAACAATTCTCAGAACTATTAGAGTTTGCGTTAAGACGTGGTATTTTAAACGATAATGATAGATAAAACCTAAATGGAATACGTTGTTCACGACTAGTTTGACTTACGACCCTGATCAGTATGAGAAAACTGAATAGTCAGTTTTACTATCAGCTTGACTACATCCCATGTATTTGATGAGTGAGGACAATACAAGTGTTGAGGACGGAGTATTTCGGTGAGACCAAAGTTTATGGACGAGGAAATCAAATTTACGATAACAGGTCCTGGATTTTGAGGCAAAATTCATTCATCCATTTGGCTAAATGGCGTTTTCGCATTTTAGCTTAAGTTCGTTCGTGATAAAAAAACACTAATCTAATGCCTAACCTTAACCATCGACTGTAAATTATAATTTTTATTCTTCCCATAGGTTCATAACCCTCATTGGGATCTAGTAAATAGGTGAACATCTTTAAGGTCATTTCAGTGTTGCGCAAAGGTCGTCCATAAAATATAGTCCAACCGAATACAACTAAATAAACTAAACTTACATTGAATTCCTGATACGCGATCGCAGTTCTTTGTTGCCAACTAGATCAAGTGATATACTACATTGTGGTCTGTTCTCCATGTTGATAGTCTTTTGAACATCAATACGAACTGTTACAATCGAAGGTTTAGCTAATGAAAACAAAGTATACAGAGAGTTTTAGAAAGCAAATTTATGTTGACTGTTCTAATCTCCCTATTTTGGGGTTTTCCCAAATGGTGTAAGAAATTTGGTAATCTTCCCCTAAGTTTGTGTTATAAGATTAGGGAAAATATTGTAAAACCAAATTTTCCCGATTATCTTGAGGATTTCCCCCGGGCCTGAAGAAGCTTTGGAATTTTTGTCTTTCTTTCTCAAAGTTTACTATTACAGCTTCCCCAAAACTTCCTTAAAACGGACAAAATATTCTCTCCATATAGGAAGACCGATGTTATTAGCAATACAGAAGTCCGTGAAAACCGAAACACAATTTAATTTTTATATGAAGATTTCAAGAATTTTTCGGTATTAAACGTTTGTGAATAATCAATAACTGTTAGGTGAAAGTGATAGTCAATTTAACGAACAGAATCTGCTGAGAAGTCTTTAGGTCTTTTGAAAATATTCACAAACGGCTTAAGAGCACAAATTCAGTCATTGAAGTACTTGCCATCTATTTTCGCAAATTATATACAATCTTAGTTAAGAGAATTATTACTAGTCGCGATACCATGTAACGCAAAATGGAGAAACCCCTTTCCACAAAATTGTGAAAACGGAAAATAAACTTTCAAATTTATTTATAATTAACTTCAAATTTTTGGCTGTTCACAAAACAGAAGTGAAAAAGTAGAGCAAAAAAGTGTCGTGATACCCCTGGAGCGTTGCCGAATATAAGTAACGAGAGGATTTGAATTATTGCTTCAATTACGTCCTTGAAGGTTTGGCCTTGACGTGTACATGTCAAAAATTATAACCCTAAATATAAAATCAATACGTTTCCAATGAACTAATGTAAAATGGAGTACAATCTTTGATCTTATTTTCAGTCTAGAAGCAATGAAAGTCTGAAGTTCCTGTTTTATTACTGAGAATTCATACCAAGTGAGTAGTCCAAATTTCTTTTGAAAACGACGACCAAAATTGTGGCCATGTGTCAGGATTACGGTTTGTTGGTAATTCTATAGGTAAGTTATGGCCAACTAGAAAATAATCGTTTCTTGGACTGTGAAGTTTTTGGCATTTTGCAATCTACTTGTTTCGAGCGATAAAAATGTTAGTACAAGTAAGACCATAAATAATCATTGAACAGTTTACAGAACTTGATTCGCTCACCTCTTGTGTAATAAAGAAGATGAGTTTCTATGTCGTTGCACTGTAATAATAGTTGCTTTGCAACCATTTGAACGCGAATCTCTGGTAAATTTTTGCTTAGTTCTGGTACCTTTTAAAACTCTGTATTATCATAATCACTATCCATTTATTTACGGCTTGGTATTGCAGTTAAGTTTACGAGTTTCATCGAATGAGCTTATTATTGATTATCCCTTCTGACCGAGGCGAATTCACTTTTCTAACTGGGGCTGTAAAATGCTTTTTGTTAGTTGTCAATGGGAAGAGGCACTAAAAACACAATTTCGATATTCACTAAAATTAAATACTTTTTCCTGAAAATTTCTCTACAGAAGAAATTTTTCACAACACAGAAGTTGGCCAATATAATGGGTAAGAAAACTGGGTGCAATCGAACAAATGGTTGAAACTCAACAAATTTCCATTGGTTTCAGTCGTTAAAAATAATTTGCTGACCAGTCAGGCTACAGAAGTGTTTACAGAGACTGTCAAGAATAAATTAAGGAAAATGACATAGTAATTAGTTGAAACCAGAGATAGCTACACGATTACCTTTTTATTCAGACACGGTGAACGCATGACCATCAAGCAGAGATAAGGTTAATACATAATAATTATTACATACTCAGATATTCTTTTTAATTAAACGAATTTTCTACTCACCCAGCTTCAAAATATGGCAAGTAACACTAGTAAACGAAAAATTTCACCAACTTATAAGCCAACTAAAATGTCAAAATCTGTAACCTCTGTGCCTGATGATTCAGTACCTGCCAATGTTAAACCTTTTTCTTATGAACCCAACGCGTCTTATCCACAAATATCACTATCACTACCTGATTCTCCATGTATCAACTCCTCTATCTCTGAAACATGCCAACGGTAAGGTTGGTTGAAATATAAGACACGGTGCTCACGTGCGTCGAATGGTCGACATAGTCTACCAAACAGCATCTTTACTAAAACCTAAACCTGAGATTTTAAAAGCCAAGGCGTCTGATAGTTTATCTTATACATACGCAAATACTGATCGATATAGTACTGATATCCATCAGCTACAAATCTCTCTAGCCAACGTTAACGGTAGATTTAACCAATAAGCACCCCTCATACACATACCTTAGTACTGATAACAATCTTGGACAACTTACAAAAGCGGAGTGTATTTTAGTTTGTGGAGGAAGAACTGACGAAAATAGTGATGTCATCGTACAATGTAGTTGCATACCAACTTTCTGATCTTACACATCCAAATAAGTAAAGGGATATTTGCCTTAGCGCATGCAGTATGCTGAACGTCGACTGCGAAATCATCCGCCTTATAAAAAAGTCGGATAGATCAACATGCCCAATGCTGTTTAAGTTTAACTGTTTTAACGGTGCTAAATAATTTATTGACTCCAGTAAAAGTATTAAAACGTTAATTCCATACAAAAGCATGAAAGTCGCTTCAGACCTAACTCGCTATCAATGTCGTGTAAGAAGACGTGAAGTAAATGGACTACATGATAGTGTTACAGCAAATAACCAACTAGAGACAGTTTGCAACACAGTAAATAGAGCAAAGCATATGATCAATTAGCATGACACTACTCCACAAACGGCAGCTCACTCTGTAGTCCTAATTCAGTCTGCAGATCAGTTTTGGGATAAGATAAGGAACCCAACGGTCACCAAAAGGCATAACGACATTCTTAATCCCGGTTGTTCGCGCAGTAAAGTACTTAAAAGTGAACCATGTGACGACACACATCTAACTAAACCTATTCACTTGAAAACTAGACCTCCTAAAGCTACTCCACAAGATGACTGGACTGAACTTGAATTCATCTCACAAAGACAAAGAAACTCTCTGGCTCTGACGAGAAAGGTGGGTAAGCAAAATCCTACATACCGAATTGGGAAACACGTAAGATTGAACCCAACTGTTCCATGTGTATCCCACCAACATTGAACGGGTTTCCCCGCTGATGTCATATAACTTGCTATCAATACACCTAAGTGTTAAAACTGGTGGTAGGTCTGAGTGTAACAACACCTTTTACATGCGGACTAATAATAACGATCAGATTACCGATCATTCCAATCACCAGATAAAGTCGCAAACCATTAATAAGCATGTTAATAATAGGTTAATCATCCCACACCCTACCTACATTCCTCAGGGTCACAATTGTAATTACTCTCAGAAAGAGAATTAATCGTACTCTCTGGTACCAACCCACGACATAAACACGGCTCCCGTGTATAATAAGTCGTAGCTAACTGCGGTTATGTGAGGCAGATACTTCTCACGTTCACACTAGCGTAAATAGCTATAACAGAGGCTACCAGCCTAACAAACAAGACTATTTTGTAAATGACGGTGCATCTCACGGCCGGCCTGCACCAGATTTTTTTGGAATACAGCCCCTATAACTCATACATTCCTATACTTTTCCGCCTACTTTGGTAAACAACTATCCTACATTACACTCATTTTTTGGAATACGACCCTAGTGACACTTATGTTGAAGCACATAGCCCAAGTCATTTCGAACCATCAAAGCTACTTAGTTAATGCAGATGACCAGTTTTTATTGTTGATTAAGCTAGTAAGTTATGAGTAATAATCAATATAGCGTTAAGATAATACATATGAGCATTAATCAGAGGACTATCAGAATAATGGGTTTACATAAGTAAATATCGATCGAAAAAGTTAAAGTGGAAATATGGATGAAGAATTAGAGGTTGCGTTTCTTAAGTCGGGCTCACCAATTTAGAATTATGGTCTACTATGCTATTAGTACTGCTCTAATAATAGACATAATCCATAAATTGTAGATTTGCCATGATGCAACTGCCTAATCTATAAGATCTTACGTGGAAGTTACTTCATCGTCTACACCAACTCATTGAATTGTAACAATTACCAATACGTGATAGAGAACAGGCTTAGGCTAGAGATAGAATATATTTGATATGAATAAAAGATACAAGATAACATTCAGCTGGGACCACGCCTGCAAGGCCGAGCCATGCCATCCGACCCACTCCTTTATTCAATTCATTATTCCCTCCTTTTTCCATTCTTCTGTATTTCACCGCGTTAAATGTAGCATGTTTATTTCCCATATTGTCTCGTGGTAGGGCCCAATGCCACTACAAACCCCCCAATCAACTTCCCCAGCTCAAAATACCGATCTAATGAAGAACATTCAATCCCTCAATTTAAACCCATATCATACCCGCGAGGGTTACGACAACTTTATTCGAGATACTCTCACCCATTTCAACTTAGTTGGCCATTTGTTTAATATGTGTTTTATCAACGCTAGGTTGATCTGCAATGAAAAGACGGATTTAGTCCTGTTTGTATCCATATATCAACCATCACTTATAATGATATCTAAAGCATGGACTAACAGTAATATTTCCGACCTAAGTATATCTTTTGATAACTATTTCCTATACAGAAGTGGTAGATTGAAAGGACAAAGCAGACGATGCCTTATTTCCACCCACTTTCGCGTAATATCATTATTATGTAATATGCCTGAACTAAACAAAGTTCAGGACTCGGTGTGGATTATTTTAAAGCCTTCAAATTCCAGTTCTTACTGTTCGGCTGTCTACCTTTAACCTAACGCATCAATAATGAGATAGTAATATTGTCAGAGATATTCACACTAGCATAATCTCTTCCATTCACAGGAAAGCTCATTTGTGGTGACTTCAACAATTTCTTGGTTCCCAGTCAAGGCGCC